AGCCCTTCCCCGCTCCAGCATGGGAGTTGGGCGCCTGGGTGAGCCACGATGCCCTGGCCCTGCCCAGAGGCCGCTGTCAGGCTACCTGCTCCCACAGCTCAGCCACATCGGTGATGGAGGGGGTGCTCCCTGCCACGTGTGCCTGTGTACATGTGTGTATATACTCGTATATGTGTCTATCCGCTCGTATGTGTGCCTGTCTTGTGTCTGTCAGTTCCTGATTCTCTTGTATGTGCACTGGTATATGTGTTGTGTATGCATTTGTATATGTATCTATGTCTGTGTATCTTTTGGGGTGTCTGTGTGTGTATGCGTTTGGATGTCTATGTATGTGTCCGTGTTTGTATGTGTATGCATGTGTGTCTGTGTATGTGTCCGTGTTTGTAAGTGTATGCATGTGTCTATGCATGTGTCCGTGTTTGTATGTGTGTGCATGTGTGTCTATTTGTGTGTCTGTGCGGACTGAGACGCCGCCTGTGGGTGGAATTTGGCCCAGAGTCATGTTTGGTTTGGCTCTCACAGTATTTTCAACATCTTGAGCCAACATTTAAAATCAGGATATTTCACATAAAAATTCAGCTTTCCAGTTTCTCTTAAAAATTCAGAAGCCCTGGCAGCGTGGGCCTGCGTTCCCAGGAGGCCATTCTCATGCCCAGCGCCACGGCCTCACCACTGGCTGCCCGGCGCCTCGAGAATGACTGTGACCCTAGTGTGCACAGTGTGTGTGTGGGGGGGGGGGTGCCTGCATAGGCATGTGGGTGAGGTGTCTGTGGGGTATACATGTGTGGGGGCACGCATGTGCATGCATGTGTGCACAGGGGGCGTGGCCACTCTGCGACCACGGGGAGTGTGTGGGCCACTGTGGCGAGTGCCTCTGCACAGGGGCCTCTTCCGGCCTCAGAGGGATCGGATTCCGGCTCCTAGTGGGCCCGCCTTGTGGGATTTATTTCTGTCCGTGCCCACAGAGGCCTGAGTAATGGGAACATTTAAAGAAAACCAGTAAATACAGAGAAGGGCAGGCTGGCCGGGAAACGCAGCCCAACACCCTGCCCAGCCCACAGCACCCTGCGGCCAGGCCTGTGCCAGCGGGCAGCGGTCCAGGGCCCAGCACGCACCACCCACTCCTCTGTGATCACTTCTGTCGGTCCCAGCCCCTCTGGTGGGTGAGCCCCCAGCATCCTCTTCACACGTGCACCCCCAGATGGCCCTGACACAATAGGCATCTTAGGGCCAACAAATGCTCAGGCTGGCCGGGCTCAGGGGACGGGACTCTACAGAGGGGCCCACCCCCTAGGCTACTGGGCTCCACACCCCGGTATTGTGCCCACACTTTACACGTGCCCAGCCCCCACACCTGTCCACCCCCTACACGTACCTGTGCTGTCCCCAGGGCTGGGAGGCACTAAGGCCTCTGCCACAGCCCAGGCCCCGAGAGGCTGTGGCTGAAGCCGGGGCAAGGCCAGCATGGGTGGGGGTGGGGGTGGGGGTGGGGGTGGGGCTGGGGTGCTGCTGTCCCGAGGACCCGGCCCCCATGGTGCTGGGTTCTGGGTTGACTGAGACCCACTCTTGGAATCATCTCTAGTATCAGCCACTTAAAGACACAGACCACGTGGGAAAGGGGGTGGGGTGCATTGCACAAGACACTTCAGCTGTGGGAAGCAGGCGGCACGGTGTCTCCTGCTGCCCCCCAGTGGCCGTGTGAGGACAGAGGGGATAAGGCTCTGGCAGACTCAGCCTGTGATCTCGGGGCCAGATGCTCCCGCTATGCCCTGAGGACCAGATCCCACCCCTTGCTGTCTGTCCCACTGCAATGGCCAGCCAGTGAGGCCTTCAGACTGGCAGGAGGGAGGGTCTCCCAGCAGGCCCCGAGACCGCCTGGAAGGGCAGCCCTGGAGGGCAGCCCGACAGTGCCCAGCACCACGAGGCACCCAGGGCACAGGACCCATGAATGCCCGGATGCCCGGCTCTGGCATTGTTGATCATGAATTTAGTTGACACTTTTGTTTTAGAGAAAGGGCGAATAGCGATATTAAAACATTTCTTCTAATTAATTTCCTTCCAATGTGCATGAATTCATGCACCAGGCCATTAGTACCACAATAAATCCAGAAGCAACCTGTGGTTCATCCCACGTGCTCACGTGTGGACTTGCTTACTCCCACTGCCACGGAAAGCTATCCCATCCCCAGAGATCTCCCAGGAGGCCCCCTTCCCAAACCTTGGCAGCCACCAATCTGTCTCTAAGAGGAAACCATGGCGACAGGATCTCTTACTACACATGTACATGTTTTTCACTCCTTCCGAGCCATTCCTTCTATCAACAGCCGTGCCTTTTCACTGCCAAGTAGTATTCCATGGTACAGATGCGCCAGTTTAACCTACTGAAGGGAATTTTGTGGGGGTTTTTTCAATCCTCATCCAAGAATGTGTTTTTAAATGATGTTTAGAGAGAGCAGGAGGAAGAGAAGTAGTTGTCTCCCATAGGCACCCTGACTAGGGATCAAACGCACAACCTTTTGTTGTACAGGACAATGTTCCAACCAACTGAGCCATCGGGTAGAGCTGTGGGTGTGTGTTTTCACAGAGTAAAACTTAAATTGTAAAAAACAAAACAAAATAAAAACTAGTCTGGGGAAGGCAGGCCCTAAAGACTGCTTGCAATGTGTGAGGACTTCCTGCCAGGCTCATTGCACCGTTTTAGACAATGTTTTCATTTCAAACCGAAGGCAGGGAAACACACCGAGCCCAGATCTGGGTCTGGTGATGACTTGGCAACCTCCACCCTGTGTGTTCCTTTAACTATTGGCTCTATCCATTGAGCCCAGCACGTCCGGACGGACGACCTGCCTTCACGCTCCCGGCCACGAGCCTCCGTGGACACCGTTCCTGCACTGCTGTCCGCTGTGTGGACAGCGTCTCTCTCTGAACTAAATGCCAGCAGCGTGGTTGCTGGGTTTTATGTGAAGAACACGTTTAGTTTCTGAGGAAATTGCCCAAGTATTTCCCAGTGACTAGCGTTTACTTCCCGCCAACCACGTGGAGGTTTTCCGCTCCCCCAGGTCCTGCCAGGATTGGTCCCCGGCTTCCTGCCGCTGTTCCCGCACGGCTCCCCGGCACTGTCCTGCTGCCGCGGTGCTCAGCAGCGGCTCCTGCGCTGATGGCACCGGTGAGGGTCCCTCTTGTCTTTCCCATTTTCTATCGGGCTCTCCTCCCCTTTCACTGGCGCATTTTGGTAATTCCTTATTATGTTCTTGTTGGGAGGCCTTTATCAGATACACGCTTTGCGAATATTTTCTGTCTGCAGCTTTTCATTCTCTAAGACTTTGTTGGAGCAAAAGCGTTTCCAGTTGGTTAAGTCACATTTCACAATACACTTTTTATGGATTGTGCTTTTGGTCTCATGTCTTACGAATTCTTTACCAAGCTCAGGGTCCTGAAGGTCTTCTCCCGAGCGTTGTTATAGTTTCACATTTTACATTTCAACCTCTGGCCCACGGCAGTTTCAGCCAAGGCTTAGGCTGGGGCTCCTCTCGGCCTGTGGCTGCCCCGTCGCTCCAGCACCACGTGCTGGAGACCGTGTCTCCTCTGCGGAGCTCACTTGCACCTTTGTCAGACATGAGTGGCCACTTCCGACGTCCCCGTCTCTTCCGTGATGTGTGCCTGCCTTCCCTCCTCTCCCGGACGGTTCAAGACTCCTCATGCTTTAGTCTTCTAGTGAGCTGGTCTGAGCTGTTCTAGTTCTTTTGCCTTTCCTGATATATTTCACTTTTTTGTTAATCCTCATGAGGATATTTTTTCCATCGATTTTTAGGGAGTTGAAGGGGGGGAGGGGGAGGCAGAGAGAGAAACATCGATGTGAGACACATGGATGGGTTGCCCACAGGTGCCCGGACTGGGGCCAGAGACAGAGCCTGTAACCAAGGTGTGAGCCCTGGACCAGAACCAAACCTGGGAACCCTCATTCCTCGGGCTGACACTCTATCCACTGAGCCAACGGTCAGGGCTCCTGATACATTTTACAATAATCCTGTCTATACTTAAGATCTTATTGGGATTTGTTGGAGTTGCATTAAACCTGTACATTAACTCCCCAGTAAAAACACGTGGGCTTGGAGATTTTTCAAGGTTTTTAATTATGAATTCAGGGTCTTTAATACTTACAGAGCTATGCAAGCCATCTCTTTCATCTGGAGTGAACTGTGGCAGTCTGTGCTTTACAAGGATTGGCTCGTTTCATCAGCCTGTCAAACTCACCCCTTCCTATCCTTAGTCTGGGGAACCCATAGTGATCACTTACTTCACTCCTAATATTTATATTAATTTGTGTCTTTTTTGTTATCTCTGTCTTGCCAGGTCCATGTTGATCTTTGCAATGTCTGCCAATCTTTGCTCACACTTCTTCCTGCTGCCGGTGGCAGGCCCTGCCGGCTGCCCTTTGCAGCATCCTTTCTGTTCCTTTTCCACGGACCCTCAACTCCAGCCGTGGTGGCAATGCGTCCAAGCTGACCGCTGCCCGGGCCCGAGCTCCTCCTCTCCCACTGTGAGGGGCTCCAGCTGCCCACGGGACACTGCAGGCCTGGCCCCACAGGTCTCCGGACTCGGACTCTGTCCCTCAGGGTTCTGAGATGAATGCTGCCCAGCCCAGAAGGACAGCACATATGCTCAGCCCCACACAGGGCTCTGTCAATCCAGCATCGCCCCTATACACCCTGTCTGGGTCCCAAACCCAAGTACCCCAAGAACCCAGGCAATACTGGATAGATCTCCGCCACACACGGGTCTGCTTAATTCTATTTACAGGGAAAAAAGTCCACAATACAGACACGCGTACATATGTGCGCAGGCCCACAGAGCTGCTCTGCTCTCCCCCACTCGGAGGTGGAACCTCTTGGGAGACAAGGAGCTGACTCCCCTGTCAGGGGGAGCCACTGCTCTGAAGGCAAAGGGAAGTGATGGCCAGCTCAGCCCACGCTGCCCAGGGCCTTCCTCCCAGGGGCAGCTCAGTCCGAGTCGCAGGCCTCTTGTTCGTTGGTGGCATCCACTGCAGAGGCCAGGCTGTCCTCCTGGCCTTTCAGCCTCTCACCTGGACAGACGGCAGACAGGAGGGGTGAGAGGGGCCCTGGCCGGTGGCCACCAGAGGGCAGGGACCCGCCTCCCAGGCTGCACTCACGGATCAGCTCGGCGATGGCCCTCTGGGTCCGCTTCTCCAGCTTCTCCAGCTTCTTGGCGACGTCTCTCTTGAGGTCCCTGCCGCAGGGAGGGGGCAGGAGGCCGGAGGCTGAAGGCTGGCCGGTGTGGCCCTGGACCCACCCTGCCCGCGGCCTCTCAGGCGCCAGGAACAGCCAGGACGCTCCGCTCCCTCTGCACCCTCCCGGCCCAGGCCCGCCGCACGCCGGGCACTGAGTCCAAGTGTGCAAGGTGGCTGGTTCCTCTGCCCCTCGGTCACTGTCCAGGAGCGGCCTGCCCAGTGCCCTGTGGCTCTTGGTCCTCCTGTACACCGAGGCTCCCAGAAGGCACCAAGCCGTCCCCTGAGTTCCCAGGACGTAGGCCCAAGCTCGTTTCATCCACTTCAAACACCTCCCTGTGGCGCTGTCCCTGACAGACTTACGGACGAGAGGAACAGCCAGCCCCGGCCCTGAGCCCGCCCTCGTGTGCACGGGCCCTCCCACTGCAGCACTCACCAGTCAGGCTTCCGGGGCGCGAGGTTGGCCAGGTCCTGGGAGGGAGGAGACACTGTCAGGGCCAGAGGGGCCCCACCAAAGGAAGGAGGGAGGCAGGGCCAGAGGTAGGACGATGGGAAGAAGAAAGGGGAAAGGGGGAGTGGGGGGCGTGGGCGGTGGGAAGAGGGGGAAGGAGAGCAGGTGCAGGAGGAAAGGGCCTCAGGAGCGGCGAGAACGGGCCACCCGCCACCTGCCACTCACCACTTCCTCGATGATGGGCTCGGGCTTGGCGGCCTCCAGCTGCTCCCTCACCTTCTCTTCCACTAGAGGGAGCAAGACGACAGGGGCTGGGAGAGGCTGCCACCTGCCTGGTGACAGCAGCTGCAGCCACGGCAAAGGAAGAGGGTGCAGGCAGGGCCCCTCGGCCCCCAGCCAGACAGAGACCCTGGAAGGCGGCTCTGCAGGAAGGCTGGGGCTCCCAGGAGGAAAGCCATCGGGACTCCACCCCCAGCTGTGAACACAGCCAGAGAGGGCTCTGGGCCTTCTTCCCACCCCTCGCAGACGTGTACCCGACGGGAGGGCCACCTGGAGGTGCACTCGGCGCACCCTGGCCTCCAGGCAGCCTGACCGGGGCCGGGGGGAAGGGGGCCTGACCCTGGGGCACAGACGCTGGGCGCCCTGGCACCAAACCTGGGGCCTCGGGCCCTGCCAGGCCCATCCCAGCGCCCCCCGCCCCCTCAGGATGGAGTGCAGGGGACAGTCTTGTCACCGCAGACACGTGCAGGCCAGGCTTCCCCACCCTCCTCTCTGGAGGAGAAGGGGGGACAGAGGAGGGTGGGCCCGCCTCCAAGCTCAGCCCCGCCCTGCCTCACCCCCTCCAGCCATGGGTACTGCCCCGGAGGCATGGGACCAGCTCCCTGCCCCTCTCCTGTCCTGCCTACTGCCCCCGCCAAGGTGCCCCTGTACCACCACGGTGGGGCCCACACCACCAGGGACATACGGGCATTTCAGGGGCAAAGGAGATGAGGAAGCAGACGGTGTGGCAGAATGGGCAGCACTTTGCTGTTTTACAAGATAACATATTTATTCACTTAATACTCATCTAATTGAAAACAAAAGTGAAGATTAAAAGAGCCAGGGACCCAGGTGACAAGAAGCGCCCGGCATCTCTGCTGCAGGAGGCTGGGGACAGCCCGCCGCTGGCCGATGCTCCTGGCTCCTGGCTGCCGCCCACACTCGGCGAGACTGCAGGCCCGGCGGTGGCCCTCACCCCGCAGACCACCTCTCCCGGCCCCTGGCCCGGCACTGTCACCCCTCCACCGGGGGCGTCCGCCTGCTCCCGCTCTCCCAGCACCTGCGTGGCCGGCCCCTCGTCGGGGTCTCAGCCCAGAGGGTTCCTCTGAGGTGTGGCCTGTTCCCTCCAAGGCCCCTCGGAGGCCTCCCAGCCGGGGTGCGAGCAGGGCAGAGCCCTCCTGCTGCTCTGCGGTCACCAGCGCTGACCACGTGTGCACCTGCCAGGAGGTGGCGGGGAGGGTGCTAGGAGCCCAGCTTCCAGCCTGGCACTGCCAGCTTCCTTTCCAGGAGGCACCTGACAGTGCCCGGGCGGAGACAGCCACCTACCTGCCACGGGCTTGGCCTGGGGCACCCTCCTCCTCTTCAGGTCCTCGTCCTCGGGGACGTAGTTGCGCAGCCGGAGTTCCCTGCAGCGGAGAGCGAGCAGAGACGAGTGAAGGGCAGTCTTGGTCACCGCGGACGCGTGCAGGCCAGACTACAAAGCTGCGCCGCTGGGACTTCCCCGCCGTCCTCGGGAATGGCCCGCGGGGGGGGCCCGGGACAGAAGCATGGTGGGCCCGCCTCTGACCCTCAGCCCACATCCCTCTCAGCAGCTGGCTGGCTGCTCTCCCAAGGCCCTGCCCACCCTGCAGGCCCCGTGGGTGCTGGGGCCAGGGTGCCTGAACAGCCATCACCAGCGTCTCCCCTGGATTAGCTTCCTCTGACTGTCACAGGAACCGAGGGTCAGAGGCGGCCGGTTTGAGAGGGTCACACAGCAAAGCCCTGCTGAGTTACTCCTCAGAGACAGCTGGTGTCACCACTGCTCCCAGCCTGGCCTCCACCTGGGCCTTCGTGCCCGACCCCGGTACATCGTCCCTCGGCTCTGTGCTGGGCGTGGCCGGCAAGGACCGAGGGGGCGGGCAGACACTGCGGAGGGCTGGGACGGCCACGTCCAGATGCAGAGCCTGACCTCTGAGAGGGAACCACGAGGGGCCAGTCACACACTGGGCTGCCAGTGCACGTGCCACTGTCCCCTTCGCTGTCTCCGCACCCGGGCAGCTGCACCAGCACTGGCTGGGCAGTCCTCAGGCCCCGCACAGAGCCCGCCTGCAGAGGCCCCTGGCGGCTCCCCAGAGGCCAGAGAGCTCTGGGGGCTGCGTAATAAGGAGCCCGAGCCTGAGCTGGCGTCTCTGTGGTCTGAGGGTCAGTTTTGATCCGGGGCATGCGCCCGGGTTGCAGAATCGATCCCCAGTGGTGGCAAGGCAGGTTGCAGTGGGCGCGACGCGCACTGACTTCCCCTCACCACAGGGCGGGGAGAAAGCAGAAGAGAAACTGGGTGTGGGAAACTGCAGGGATCTGTGGGGAAAACACTGTCACTCTCAAACCGGCTCCAGGTTCTGAGAGAAATCAGGCAAGTCCGGGGTGGGGAGCCGGGACCCTGAGCGGCACACAAACCCCCTCCCCCGGGCCTCAGCAGAGCGGCTGGACAGAGGGAGGGAGGACACGGCAGGGGACAGGGAGGTCCCAGGAGCCGGGGAGAGCCGCCAGCAAGTCCCCAGCACCCACTGTCCCTCGCCCTGGAGCTGGGCACTATCCAAGCAACCGAACACTTGGGTGTCCCTCAGCCCAGCCTGCACCCTCTCCAATACCCTGCCACTGCCCGCTGCAGCTGGAGCAATTCTCTCCAGAGCAGCAATTTCGACCGGCGCTGCAGGCATGCCAACATACGCAGCACCTGGCTGCTTAGTCAGGAGCCCTGGCCTTTCTCCTTAGATTTTCAAACAGAAAAATGACAACAGCAACACAACAATAGTGGTCCAATGTGAATGAATAAAAATTATACCTATTTTTTGTCAGATTATTGAAAAATAATACTTTTTTTGGTGTGAGACAGAATTTTAATAATTAATTTATGTGTGCCATGAGATAAAAGTGGTTAAAAATCGCTGCTCTAGAGGAAATAAAATTATCCAGAACCTTAAATTATCTCTAGAATTTTTCATACCTAACATGCAGGATTCAATCAAAGCCATGAGGAAAAATAAAGACAACATAAATGCACTCATGGGTGATCCGAATATTGGAATGATCAGAAATGAAATGTAAAATAATTAACACTAACAAAAGTTCAGGAAGCTAAACCACAAGATGGAGAATTTCAGCAGACAACCAGGACAGTAAAAGTTAATCAAATGGGACTCTATAACTGAAGTCTAACCCACATTAAGGACGCACTAGATGAGTTCAGCAGCCGTCAGGGCTGGTGAGCGGTAAGACTGGCCAGAGAACGGCCGGAGAGCCTGGGAGACACACGCAACATGATCGAAAGGCCTGGCACCCGTGGACGCCCAGTCCCGGCAGAAGGAGAGCGCGACAGAGCGCTTTTTACGGGAGTGAGAACATCGAGCCCGGGCCAGAGAACACCACGCGCTCCAAAGAACGGCCCCAGACAGGCCTGCCCGACTACCGAACCGGGGCAGATGCTCAGACAGACACGGGCCAGCCAGGCAGAAACGGCCGACAGCCGGCTTCTCCCACCAACGATGGAAACCCAGTCCAGGAGACGGCTCGCAGAGCAGACGCAGGAGCTTTCCGGACTCCGCCCCGCAGCCCGCTGGCTTTGCCTGTCGGCCTAGGCCGGCACGCGGAGACACCTCCTGCCCAACGAGAACAAGGCCCGGCCCATGGCGAGGCGAGGCACACTCCCCACCACAGCTCCAGGCCTGACCTCAGAGCCTCGGAAATGCTCAGCCACGGCTGTCCCGTGGTCACTCCGAGGACAGGAATGGGGGTCCCCGCGTGGGCTCCTTGTTCTCCATCGGACAGGGGCCCGGGGGCTCCTCTCCCTCAGGTGGACACACCCACCCACCAGGGGCAGACTGATGAGAGGGCGCTGGCAGCACCGAGGCCCTGACATACAAGATCCAAACTTGTTTCCAGGCAGCGGGACCCAGTCCCCTCCTCTCCCCAGTCACAGGGTCAGTCTGCTGCCCACGGCCGCCATGACACACCATCATGAAACCAGTCCTCTCTCGATTCAGTCGCCCACATCCTGGGCCTCCTCCTGAGCACCAGGATCAGGAAAAACAGGGTGACAGCACATGTCTGAGCTGCTCCTCAGCACAAACCCTGGAGCCACGGTCCACCCCAGTCCATGCCCCTGCCCACGGTCCAGCCCCTGCCCACGGTCCCCCCCTGCCCATGGTCCACCCCTGCCCACGGTTCGGCCCCTGCCCACGGTCCAGCCCCTGCCCACGGTCCCCCCCTGCCCACGGTCCACCCCTGCCCACGGTTCGGCCCCTGCTCACGGTCCGGCCCCTGCCCACAGTCCGCCACAGTCCACGCCCCTGCCCACGGTCCGGCCCTGTCCACGGTCCGCCCCTCCACCCACGGTCCGGCCCTGCCCACGGTCCGCCCCCCCGCCCACGGTCCGGCCCTGCCCACGGTCCTGCCCACGGTCCGGCCCTGCCCACGCTGGGACACCCTGACCTGGAGCAGGAGGCGGGGAGGGAGCCGCTCGGAGGCACCACGGGAGTGGGCGATGTTTGCCCAGTCAGGCTGACGTCATGATCTGCCAGTGAGCACACCCTGCTTCAGACACCATCCCGGGACCCAGCCCGCAGGGAGAGGGCCTGCACTTGCCAGCCTAAGGGTCTGGGCGCCAGGCCAGGGCTGGGCTGGGCCTCAGCTGGGCGGGAACCTCTCCACATGGAGCTGGAGAACCGGTTTTCTGTCCGGAGAAAGCAGGTTAGTGCCGCTTTCTCCGGACGTGACAGCCTCCCAGGGGAGCCGCCGTCCTGAGCAGTGACCGCTCCAGCTGGGGAGGCTCCAGCTGGGGAGACGTGTCCAAAGCCAGCGGGAGGCGGCTGTGGGTGAGGGGGAGGGGCTGCTTGTTCAAGCGCCCAACAAGACATGTCCCTGGCCCCTTCCCAAAGGTGCCCACACCTCCCTCTCCTCAATCACAAGCCCGACTGGACACGCCTCACACACTGATCAGCGACCTGCCTCTGGGAGGAAGTGACTGAGGCTCAGAAAGCAAAGCAGCTGCACAGCCCTCTGCAGGCCACTTCCCAGGGCCCCACATCACAGGCGGCGGTCACCCTTTTATTATACATGAGGACACTGGACAGGTGGCTTAACAGACAAGAGGCAAGAGCACCTCCCTTCGGGGCAGCACTGAGGGCGAAGGTGGGGAGGGCTGGGGTAGGGGGGCCTGGGTACCTGCAGAATAAGCCACAGGACAGCAGGCCCAGCCCAGAGGAGAGGCAGGGCCCTCCTGGGGGTGGGGACGTCTTTCCTTCCCAGAGTGGAGCTGGCCAGCGGACCTGCAGGGTCTGACTGCCCCGTGGGGATCTGGCTGTATGAGGACGAGGCAGGAGCAATAAAACTTTTTTAAAAAATTTATTCTAGAAAAACCATGCAATTCCCATCAAAATCCTAGCAAGCCTTTCCATAAACGTTAACGAGCGGGTTCTACAACTATAAGGAAAGGCAAAGGAGCGTGGGAGCAGGGACCTGAAGTCTCAGAGGTGGGCAGGCGCCGGGCAGAGGAAGGTGGGGCGCGCCCAGCACGGTGCTGAGGGGGAGGCCGCGGCCAGCGCTCCTGGAGTCCAGCTCCTCGGCCAGACAGGACGGGCACTGCCCCAGGTGCCTGGGCCGACGGGTCTGTGAGCGATGCTCGCATTTGCCCAAGGCCATCTACCATACACGTGAGGGAGGGTCCACGAGGCCCTGACCACCCGTTTAGACAGGGAGCTTATTGTTCCCATGGGCTTATTTCTACCCTCACCTGCCCACCTCGCCGTTCTCCCAACTCCTGTCCCCTTTGCAAAGTTAGCAAAGACCTCACACACAAGTCAACTCTGCCTTTTCCGGGTGTGCCTGAGCCCTCAGTTCTTAGGGGGCCCCTGTTTCCTCCTTCTGCCAAAGCCCCAGCCCCAGCCCAGCCCCCAGCCCCAGCCCCAGCCCCAGCCCCCAGGCCCCAGCCCCAGCCCCCGCCCCAGCCCAGCCCAGCCCAGCCCCCAGCCCCAGCCCCCAGGCCCCAGCCCCAGCCCCCGCTCCAGCCCCAGCCCAGCCCCCAGCCCCAGCCCAGCCCAGCCAGGTAACAGCTGTGGCTCCATCCCCAAAAGGAAGCGTGTTTCCACATCTCTCCGTTGAAGACATGCAGGGGAAGAGGCTCACAGAAGCAAGGTGACCCGCCTAAGGACGGTGTGACCCACTGGCTGAAGGGCTGTCAGGAGCAGGCACCCCCCACCCACCCCGTGAACTTGAAAAGGCCCAGCTCCTCTGAGATGGGCTTCTGAATGGGGCGGAGGAGGGGCCTGGCCTGGGGAGGGTTCCACTTACTCTGGTGAAGGCAGCAGAGGAAAGCCTGCCCCCAGGTGCCGGCCCAGCCCTCAGGGCACGTCCCTCCCCTCCTGTGCACCCCTCCTGTGCACCCCTCGTCCAACAGCCCCCGGAGGCCAGCTTTCTCTGGGCACCAAGATCTGCCCCTCCCTCCCGAGGCTACTGTCCATGCAGACTCCAGGTCAGGCTCAAGCAGAGCTGCAAGCTGCCCTTGGCCCAGCTCAGGCTGGGCGGGAAATGCTAAGACATGAAGCTCCCCGGCTCACATCCCTCCTGCCCCACACACGTCCCTCCCCTCCGCCCCACACACGTCCCTCCTGCCCCACACATGTCCGTCCCCTCTGCCCCACACACATCCCTCCTACAACACACACGTCCCTCCCCTCCGCCCCACACACATCCCTCCTGCCCCACACATGTCCGTCCTGTCCCACACATGTCCGTCCTGTCCCACACATGTCCGTCCTGTCCCACACATGTCCGTCCTGTCCCACACATGTCCGTCCTGCCCCACACATGTCCCTCCCACCCCACACTGCTTCCGAAACCTGTCCCAGAATCTGTTGGAGGCTCCAGCTTATGTGCCTGCAACCACGGGGGAGGGAGCCTTGTGTAGGCAGAGTAAGCTGCCTCAACCAGGTAATGGGATTTGGCAGAATAGGAGCACACAGCGCAGGTGAGCTAGAGGGGTCAGCAGGACAGAGACGGAAAGGGGACAGCGCAGGGGGACTGTCGGAAAACGGAGTGCCAGTGCCGAGGGGACAGGAGGCGGCCCAGCCTACTGGCCCGCTCGTCACACATGGCTGGCTGGGAGCGGCTCTGCGGGTGCTGCAGAGCCGAGCCACGCGAGGGCTCGGAGAGCGAGGAGACATAATGTGGGGTCAGCAGGAAAGGCCGGTGGCCGGGGTCAGAGGGCCAGTGGGGACGGGCGCAGCAGGCTCCAGCCAGGGACAGGGAGGCGGCTGCCGGTCTGACCGGGCAGCACGGAGGGGGGGGCGGCAGAGGCTGAACGCAGAGTGGGGGCCGGAGAGAGGAGGCAGGGAGGTGCCGGCGGCTCGGGCTGGCAGGCCACCAGCTTACCTGTGCTTCTCGCCCTCCTCCTCCCCTTCTCTAAGCTGCTTGGTCTTGGGCTCCGCATCTTCCTTGTCCTGCAAAGAAGGGAGAGAACCCGCTGCTCAGATGAACGTTCCTACTTCCAGCCACAGTGGCAGCGAATGAGGACTAGATCTCGGGAGGCAGACACCCAGGCAGGAGCTCCAGCCTCCGCACTGACGCCTCCCTCCTCGCCCTCAACTCCCAGAATTCAAAACCCACCACCCAGTGAGGCCCAGGCCCAGGCCCAGGCCACTGCAGGAGCTTCGGGTGGGAGAAGGAAGCTGGTCGCTGCCAGAGCTCGGGCTGGCAGGCCACAGCACCTTCCGGGTGTGAAGAGCCACCCCTGAGCTGGGAGAGCACAGGCCAGGCTGTACCAGCCCCTGCAAGGATCTCGGGAAGAGGAGGAGGGGAGCCAGCTCAAAGCTCTATGGGAAAGCTGCAGACCGTCTCCCTCTGCCCGGCCTCTGAGGCCAGAGGTCACTCCCGTGGCAGCCCTGGCCATCGGCCTGCGCTCAGGCGCACGAGGCCCCACAGGAGGGCGCTGCCGCGCTGCTCCCAGCACCCCGTGACTCCTGAGGTCAGCCTCACCCGCACACAACGGTACACGCAGGATGTGTGCGGCCACATGTCTGTCCGATTGCGTGACCTGCCCTCGGACCGAGCCCGTCCAGGATCTGCCTGCACGGGGGGGAGGGGGCTGCAGGGGAGTCGGTGCCACTTCCAAGGCCCTGCCTTGACCCGCGGCAGGCTGCTGAGGGGACAGCGGTGAGCCCCGCAGGGACTGCTGTGGGGAAGGTAGGGCAGGCTGGCACGGACACACAATCAGACCTGACGCCGTCTGCCCTGTGCTCCGGGGAGTGACGGGCTTTGAGTCACTTCCTGCAGCGTTCACCAAACCCCGAGCAGGAGACCCCACCACGCCCAGCCACGTGGAGAGGAGACACGAAGCCAGGCTGGCGGCCTGGCCCAGGGCCGGTGCTGAGAGCGAACAGACTGAGATCCCCCGGCGCTCAGCCCTCGCCTGGCAGCCCGGTCTCTCCGGACAGGCAGCAGGAATGAGTGACAGGGGCAGCGGCGAGGTCACCACGGTTCCACGGGGAGGGGGCTCTACGGAGGGCGGGGAGGGTGGGAGGCAGGAGGAAGGAGGACATTCCAGGAGGGAGGGGAGCAAAGGCGGGCGTGGCCTCAAGCACACACAGGAGACGGTAGCGGTGATGGGGTGATGGTGACAGGGATAGCAGCGAAGGGGAAGGGGAAGGCGATTGCCTGGAGGCTGTCAGGCAGGTGGGGCTGACACAGAAAGGAGGAGAGGGGAGAGGGTGCTGAGGGAGGGAGGACCAAAGGCCTCTCCAGGAGCCTGCCCACCCTGCTTGGGCGAGAGGCACTCACGGGAAGGCCAAGGAGGGAATGAGGGCCCTCAGAATGGAGAAGGGAGCTGGGCTTCTCCCCGGCCCCAGGGCTGCTGGGCCTAACCCCACTCTCCCTCCCCGAGTGCTGGCCGAGGAAGCAGCCAGAAGCAGGCCATTCAAACAAAGCTCCCACCACTGCTTGCCACTCCCCAACGGCCAGGCCAGAGGTGCTTGCCAAGGGGAAGGACCAGGTGGAAGCGAAGAGGAGGCTCAGCTTTCCCCCGAGCTGCTGGGCAAACCTCCCCCCCACCCCCCGCCAAGGCTCCCTTCCACAGGGCGAGGCTGGGCCGGCTGGTAGAGGCGGGACTGCGGAAACAGCCTTTGCAAACACCATGTCCCTTCCAGCCCTGAGCAAGGGCCACTCAGCAGCCGTGGCTGCCACTACCTGGAATCCCAGAGACACTCGAGTGCCTGGCAAAGGCCGAGTTACTCATTAATAAAACGGGAAGCACCCAACTATCGAAAGAACACTTTACAGGCCCAGCAGTTTGGTGGGTGGGGTGCAGCATTAGCTCTGCAGCCAGGGTGAGGTCAGGAGGGCCCCAGGCTGGGTGCTGTGCCATGAGCAGGGACTCAAGCACCATGAAGATGCACGGGTGGGCGAGGGCAGGTGACCAGAGAAACAGGCCACAATGCTGGCACGGGGCTCCCCGCCGGACGGCCATGCAGACAGGACAGCTTTGAAGCGCTGCTGGCCTCGGGCACAAGGCGGGAGCCTCTGCCTGGGACGGGGCAGCGGCCACACCGGCCCCCAGCCCCCAGCCGGGAGGCTCAGGCTCAGAGCAGAAGGGCCGGCAGGACGACCACCCTCAGGTCCCTCCATTCCCCAGGGGCCTGACAAGAGGCCATCAGACAAGGGGAAGGATTTGCCCAGGTCACAGAGGTCCCTCCGACCCCTGCACCCTCACAGGGGGTGAGAGTCGACAGTGGCACTTGGCTTCTAGAAACAGCCCAGGCTCCCACCGTCAGAGTGGGCCGTGTGCCCTCAGACCTGGGGACGCCGTGGGAGGAGCACAGGCAGGCGGGCCTGAGGGGCACAGATCCTCGGGGGATGTAGACACCCCACCCGAGACCCTTAAATGCAACTCACTGCCTAACGCCCCCTAAACACCCCCCTCCCCCAAATCTGTGCCTCTCCTTCCTTCCCAGGCCTGCTCTTCCTTCCTTCTCCTGCACCACCTCCAAGGCTGGCACAGACTGCCCGGCCTGGGGGAGGGAGGAAGGAGGTCTGACCCTGCTGGGGGCAGGCTGCAGGGCGCTGACTCTGGGCCCCTGGCTCTCAGTGTGCTGCTGGAGGACAAATGCTTCTCTCACCCGCCGGTGCCGTGGGCCTGACACTGCCTCGGGGGGCACCGGAGGGGGCAGCCGTGCTTCAGCGGCTGTGCTGTGACGGCTCCTCGTCTGTGGAAGGGAGGGGCAGCCTGTGATGCCCTGGTGCAGAACCGGCCTGGGCTAAGGAGAAAGCCTGCGGCTGGTGGACAGGAGCAGACCCCGAGGGCAGGAAGGAAAGGGCTGCAGAGATGCTTCCGGACAACAGGCCAGACTGTTTGTGTCTGCAAAGGTCGTGTTGAGCTTTCACTTTCTCCCGCTCACCTGCTCTCTCGCTGCAACCGCAGCCGGGCGCAGGGTGTAACTCCTGCCGTCAGACAGTCTGCGCGGGGCAGATCTGATTGCCCACACGCGCTTCACCAAGGCGGCAGAGGGTCACTGCTCTCCGAGGGGCGAGCAGCCCCGAGAGGCTGTGGAGGGAGCCCGGGCAGGGCTGGAGGCTGGAGGCCAGCAGGAGTCGGGACGGGTCATGGCAGTGGGGTGGGACCCGGGTGCCTGAGTCTCTGAGGAACAGGGAGTCGGAGGCGATGGAGCGGGAGGTGCTGTGCACTGAAAAGGCGGTGGCACTCAGGGAACAAAAGGGAGTGGTGGCTTTCAGGGCGCTGGGCGAGGCCTGTGCCTGGAGTCTGGAGGCGGGTGAAGGCAGAGGCCGAGGGTCCCGCCTGGCGAGTGTCTGGCAGTGGAACGAGGGCTCACTCCTCGGCACAGCAGGGGGGGCCCCGTGGGCACCCCATCACAGGGCCTCACCAGACGACGGCTGCGTCCTGCCTGCAGCCAAGCCAAGTGCACACGGGGACCACCAGCTGCGGAGACGGGAGGAACATGACAGCCATGACCTGCTCCCTGGCCAGGCACCCCTGGGTGCTGAGAGAGAACGAGTGGGCACCGAGCTCACAGACCAAGGAGGGCACCCAGCTGGGTGCGTGGACGGGATCCCAGAGTGGACGGCCAGGCACGCAGGCCAGCTGGGAGAGGCTCCTCTTCGGGAGTGAAAACCCAGTTCCTCAGCATCTGCGGGGGGTGGCGCGGAGGAGGGGAGAGTCAACAGCCGGGGGGTGTGTGTGCATGTGTGTGTGTGTGTGAGTGTGTGTATGAGTGTGTGCGTGTGTGTGTGAGTGTGTGTGCGTGAGTGTGTGTGTGTGTGTGTGTGTGTGCGTGTGTGTGTGTGTGTGTGAGCGAGAGTGTGTGTGTGTGTATGTGTGAGTGTGTGAGTGTGTGTGTGTGTGTGGGTGTGTGTGTGTGTGTGTGTGTGTATGTGTGAGTGTGTGTGAGTGTGTGTGTGTGTGAGTGTGAGTGTGTGTGGGTATGTGTGTGTGAGTGTGTGTGAGTGTGTGTGTGAGTGTGTGTGTGTGTGTGTGAGTGTGTGTGAATGTGAGTGTGTGTGTGTGTGTGTGTGTGTGTGTGTGTGGAGGGGGATCTTTGGGTGGCACGGGGGGTGTCTGGAGAGGCCGAGGGGGGGGGGCAGCAGAAGGAACAGCAAGCGCGGGGAGTGTGCCCGGGGAGTGTGCCCAGGGAGTGTGCCCAGGGAGTGGGGAGTGTGCCCGGGGAGTGGGGAGTGTGCCCGGGGAGTGTGCCCGGGGAGTGTGCCCGGGGAGTGTGCCCGGGGAGTGGGGAGTGTGCCCGGGGAGTGTGCCCGGCTTAAAGGGCCCCTCCCACTGCTCCATGGCCCAATCGGAAAGAAGCCTCGCAAGGTCACTCCGAGGTCCTTCTCACACAGCAGCGGGAACAGCTCCCGGGCAGCCGTCAAAATGGTTGAACACAAAAGCAACTCGAGGAACCCGCTGTCTGGCGCTGGCATTCCGCACACCCTGAACAGACCCTCCCGGCCTTCGCTGGCTCAACGGGAAAACGGAAGCCATGGCTGGCCCTCACACCCAGCACAGCCCAGGCGTGTCTTACGACCTTTCTCGGGCTTTAACACACACACAAAACACTAAGCAGCAATGCTGAGCGGGGAGGAGGCAGACAGACCTGCACACGCCAGGTCCCTCCTGCAGCCCAACCTGGGCCCAGCGGCCCGGCCAGGAGCTGCACTCAGGCCGCAAGCCCTCCCATCAGGCCACACACTCCCAGGTCAGAGAACATTTCAGTTGAGAAACTAACTGATGGTGACCACGAGGTCACCTCCCACCTCTCGCCCGGCCCCACCACTTCCCTTTCTGGAGGGCACACGGCTCCTGCCACGAAGCCCACTCACCCCACCCGGATTCCTCTCCCCGGCCCCCGTCCGGGTAGCAGTCCCCTCACGGAGCTCTGGGCGTGGCCGGCCCCTCCCCGTCCCCCAGGAGGCAGCGAGGCCCAGCTGGTCCGCCTGG